GTCGAGAAGAAAACAATGTGAGAACATGTGTAGTTCCAAATTCAAGTTAAACAAAAAAAAACAAAGAAAAGAGTTGTTGTTTCATAACCTTCATCTTTCTTTGAATGCTGAATGTTAGCAATAAGATTAACGATTTTCTTCCCCCCCCTCCAATTCTATTTACATCTGTGTTTATGGGATGTTGTAGCGTGAATGCAGAAGTGAGATTTGGAGCGAGAGAAGGAGAGAGGAAATGATACTAAGACGTTTGGCCGGCGCAGTGCCTAATGATCACAAGAGCAAAAGATGCATGCACAAATATGAACACACACACACACACACACACCATGTGATCTCTCGATTAGTGCTGTAGTCACACCCTCCCACTCTCTCTGCTTGTTTGATCACAATCTCCCTCCTACTCCTGGGCTCCAGTCAAACAGAAACTTTCAAAAGATAATGCTTGCTCGACATGAAATCACTGATGACCTTTGCTGAAATAACTTAAGATATTCAATTTTTTATGTTCTGTGGCAATGTTCAGCTGACAAAACAAAAATTAATCTCCTCACGTATTTATATGTGTTTTTTTATGTCTGTAAAACTGTTCTGAAGTGTCCGCAGATATTCAAAGGTTGGATATTATTCAAAATCTAAAGGTGGATGTAATAGCTTAGGAATATCTCTGACTATTAGAAAAAAAAAGAAAGATCTGCAGAGGTTATAATGCACCAATGTGACTGTAATCTTGCTTGGTGCTTGGTTTAGCTTATCTTTACTTTCAGAGCTGCTTAATCATGCTTGATGAAGTTTGCTGATGATAGACGGTTGTACCTTTTTAGCGAACTGTGTTGACTGTTCAGCACGTACAACAGAGAAACTGTTTAAAAAAGTGTTTCCTAACAAATACACTGCTCTACTACTTTTGAGGGGTTGATATCGTCTCAGGGGTGCTGCCAAATTTGGGTGAGCAGTAAAAATCCGCTTGTAATCGGTTTTAGGAGGCTTCAGCGCCTGGGCTTACTCTCCTATGAATCTGTGCTATTGATTTACGGTCAACAGCTTTTAATGGAGCCAATAAAACTGGAAAAAAATGAGAATAAGGTAGTTGTGAGTTTCTGGGCAGCTGTCTCATGTGCTACAGAGAAGAAATATTTTGTGTGCTTAAGATTAACTGCTTGTTTATTCGTTATTTTCTACACCCTGGATTCACAAGTTACAGTTCCCACAACAACAAATCAATATTTATTTATTTATTTTAATGGAACAAATATGGATATTTTAACAGTAAAAATGTAAAATAGGTCGTACCAACAGGTAGGACTGTGACCACAGGCAAATATATAATCTAATAATAATAACAATAGAATAGAATACATTTGATCTAAATAGTCTTCATCCTACAAAGTGAGATAAAGGAAGCCTCCCTCATGGGTTTATGCCAGGTCATCAGCGATGGGAACTGGGGCACACGGTACAGTAAAGAGAGCATATGACTTATTGCTACATTACACAGGACATTCCCATACCTCACAGTGGTTTCACAATAAGATGTGTGAGTGGTCTTTTGTGGTTTCATGCTCGAAAGAAAAGCACATGATGCCACCGCACGCGGATCACGAACAAGTGATTAAGCTAAAAAGGGAACTGACTTGCTTTGACTATGATGAAACCCCCTCAGTGTGTCAGATCTGACCAGCTGGCATGACACCTCACCTGCCACAGCATGTCAATACTTTTGGCGATTATGTTTAGCTCCCTCACCTACTGGCACCGTGCGCCCAGCGAGCACACCTTTCCCACCATCCTCCGTGGACTGCCATTGGCCGACGAGGCTAAGAGGCTGAGGTGTTGTAGCAAATAGCACAGGCTGTGGGCTGGTCCATTCTGCAGCTCGAGGGAGGTTAATGAGTGAAGCCGCTGGGCTGTCAGCCAAACATGAGCAGCAATGCTAAGGCTCCCACAATGAGCCTGACTGTATTACCACTGAGCTCTGTCTAATTATACACTCCCAGCAAGGGAGAGAGAGAGAGAGAGAGAGAGAGGGAGAGAGACAGAGAGCATATTAGGCAGGAGGGGTGGAGGGGGGGGAAGAAAAAGTTATCAAGTGTCGCCGTGTGTCAGAGAGACTTGCTGAGAGGGATGAGTGTAGATTGAAGTTGTAAGAGTGAGATAGAAGGTGTGTGTCAGTTAGAAAGGAGAGAGAGAAAGAGAGAGAGAGAGAGAGGGAGGGGGTTGGAGAGATCAAGCAAGCTGGGGAGAGAGACAGAGAGCGCACTCACAGGGAGATACAGAGAGAGAGAGAGAGAGAGAGAGAGAGCAAAGAGGCGTTTAGAGAGTGAGAAGGAGGAGAGGCAGGAATAGGATGAAGGGAGGGAAGGCTGAGCAGTAGAGAGGAGGAAGAGACTCGCAGTCTCAAAACTGGATATTCCTACGTGCCTGCTGCCGCCTGATTAAATGAGTAAACTCCCTGATACCTGCTACGCAAAGGCACCCGGCGAGGTATGTGACCACACCACTTCCTCCTCTGAGTGTGTGTTGCGTGTAGGAGAGAGGGAGAGCACAGGTGTGTTGGCAACTTTGAATGACGGGATAAACAGACCGCGCTGTGCTATTTGAATGCTCTGAGGAAATAGGTTTAGGAGTTGCTGTAGGTACATGTCATTCTGAGATTGAGCCGGGCTAATAATAGGGAGAAATATGTTTGAATTGTTTACGTGCATGTGTGCATGTGTGTGTGTTGTGTGTGTGTGTGTGTGTGTGTGTGTGACTGGGCATGTTGTATAGACTCATGTAAATCAGCACCTATATGTGTGGGCGTTTGTGTGCGTGGAAGAGAATAACAGAGAGAGTGTGAACAAGAGGGAGAGTGTGACTGATCCGGAGAGAAGGAGTGTGTGAGAAAGGCTGAGACAGACAGACACAGAGAGAGAGTGAGGTGGAGGTTTATAACTCAGCCCGATGGCAGATCAGGGCTTTCAGAATTAGAGCAGTGGGCTTAAATAGCCCTGGTCCAGAGATAACCAGGGGCCCTCGAGGAGCCCGCTTAAATTGGAGGGATGGGCATGAGATTGGTCGGGGTGGGGTTAGTCCAGTCAGGGAAAAATTTTGGAGGGAGACCAAATGAGGGGAAGAGGAGGAGGAGAGAAAATAAGATATGCAGATGTTTGGGGGGCAAGTGTCGGGAAGATCTCGTGTAATCAAAGGGAGGATGTGCCAGTGGGCAGGTGCATCAGGCGTCTGCAGTGGAACTTCCTATTCAACCAGTGTACGAGAAAGACGAGAAAACATTCACTGGAGGAACTTTTCATGTCCCCTTCAAATTTTTTTTAACTTTATACCTCTGCTTGGTCGAACTGTAAATTTGTTTCTGCACTCCTCTGTTGGCAGCGCCGAGCTGTGTTTGTGGTTCTGTTACTCTAATCCCCTCCTCATTTCTCATCATTCTCGACGGAGACATACTACGCCAGTGTGCACAATTATGATTTCTGTATGTCTATTTCTGCTACAGCAGGCGCTGTCCTTCTGCTGCAGTGATATCCCATATGCTCCATATAGGACGTTTCACAGGTTCAGACAGCTCTCAGCTATAGATGTCTTTCAAGCGAGACGTACAACATTTGTCCCTGCTGACTTAATTCACTTATTTCAATTATGAGGATGATCTGCTGGAGTGTACAGGAAGCTGTATGTCACTGCGTGATTGCCTGTACAAATGATTGTTTTGAGAGCATGTTTAAAAAGTGGTTCTGCTTTGAATGCTGGATTCGCCGCTTGTATGTTGAAGCAGGGATTCTCTGGTGTATCAGTGAGAGTTCACGCCAAAGTGGGGCTCTCGCTGAAGTTTGGTGGCATCAAATCCCAGATCTCCTGTGTTAATTTTGACTTTTAGAGTGACTTAACAAGACAAAGCCCAGGGCTTTATGTCAGACTCCTTTGCACCAGAGATATGCCCTTATGAATGATACGAAGGGAAACTGGATGTAAGGACGGTTCTGTGTCTTTTGGGAAACAGAAACACAACTCGTCTCTGCGGGCTAAATGAGAAATACAGCATGTTCTCCCATACCATGTTTCTTAGAGTACTGTTACCCTGAAGAGGAGAACAGGCCTCTTGTGGGAGAAGGTTGAGTGGCTGCTGGCCCTTTAAGAGGTCTATTTTTAAAGGGGCACGCTCATGCATGGAGTGAGGCGCACAGACGAGGCAGTGGCACACGGAGACTGTATCTGCGCTGCCTCACTTCTGTGACTCCAAACAACGCATCCTGTTGGACCATAACCTTGTGACTGGGCGACTTGGGAGAGTCATAAAACTTGTGCGGTCCGCAGAGGAGCACGTGTTCTTTCAACACACGCTCCGACACGAAAATCATCAAAACTGGAAGTTGCGAGGTTCTTACCCGACAAAAGAGAATCAGCCCTTTTCACGTGGATCTCTCTGAAGTCTAAAAGTGATAATGAGTGGGAGCTTGTAATAAAGACACCCTTATGCACAGTGTTCACAAATGTGCCAACATTCCCACATACTTGTTTTGATATGCAGATAGCTATGAAAGAAATCTGAAAACATTCGTGCCCCCTTCTTACAAACACATAATACACTTTAGTTTACTTACACCCACACACTCTTCGAAAGAAGCCACGAAAATGAGCACATTTCAGAACATTTCAGCACAAACATACATCCGTGCACTTAGAGGTGCGCATAGTGCTGTACGCCCACGTAAAAAAAAATTACTTATACATCCTCAATATCTGGACCTAAAATAATCTTCTCCTTATGCAATCTGCATGTTATATAATGCATGGCCTGTCATTATCACCGCGCTCCTTCACGCCCTGCTGTGCCTCTCCACCTACAGCACCACGCAGACAGGCAGACACACACACACACACACACACCCAGCACCTTGTGTTAACAGTCATATACTCTACTCTAGCACTCTCACCCACGTTGAGTGTATGCTCTCAAACAGCCACCCAGATGAGTGAGAGGGAAAGACAGAGAGGAAGACCGAGAGTGGGTGGGGTGGGGAGACCGAAAGTGAAAGACACAGAAAGGGAAAACTTAAGAGTGTGAAGTGTACGTTCAAGCACAGACTGCATTTGCATGATTATATGAATTTGTGCGTGCGTGTTGTTCCCGTATGTGTAATATCAGGGCTGGATGCCATACGGGCGCTCGCAGAAAATTCCTGTCTTTCACAGACTGAAATCCTACGTGGGCGCACAAGTGTAGCCAGCATTTGAGCCTGCATAACCCCACGTAACCTTAGCTGTGCAGTCATTTTCTGTCACGTTTTGTTCCTTTTTCGGGGATTTAGACAGCGGGGAGGCACTCGCCACCTTATTGCAGAATGTGCGAGGGATAATCGCTCTCATTGTCACTCAAAGTCACACCTATGGGCAAACAAAGACTAGCATGTCTTTGCCTGTCTTGCGTGTCATCCTTCTCGCTGTGTGGAAACATTTTCTAAAAGCTGTGCTGCTCTAATGTGAGCCTGTGTTGTACTGCATTTAATTAAAACAATACAGTGCAATATTTTATTCTATTGATTTCATTATATTTAGTCTGTGAACTGACAACTTAGTAAATATGTATATATCTGCTGTGTCACTGCAGGCATACTGGGTTTCATATTCAAAATTAACCTTTCTTCATAAATTAAGAAACAGTAAGAACTACATGACACTGCATAAATTCCTTTTAAGATATATTCACATCATGAATCAGAATTATGGATTTTTGAATCAGTCAAGGGGACTTGCAGGGCCTCTGTTCGCAGATCAGCACTCTCCCAATTGGACTGGTATGAGAATTGGCCTGGGAGCTCAGTGGAGGAGCCAGGAGTGTGATGAATAATCCCAAACAGAGGCAGGTGCTTGAATACAGTTGACACCGTGCCAGACTCCTTTAAGGTGACAGACACACCTGTCGGTCTAAGTGTCCCACGAGAGGAAGGTGCAGGAACTGACATTTCATAGGATGCATTTGCATTCGAGTACATTCATTGTATGTGCGAAGTGAAGACATGCTTGCGAATGCGTGTGCGGTCATGTGCAAACATGCGTATCCAATCTGCCAGTAATCTGAGTCTGTGCTTTGCTCTTTGTGTTCGAACAGATCGTTTTCCTTGGCCTTGACTTGTAACCCTTGTGTATGATCAAGCAGTATGTTCTCCTCCTCCTCCACACTTCATCTACAATAGGGGTCAGCGGCCTTTCAACCCTGCCACCCACCACTTACACCCACAGTTTTTCAGCCAGGCCTGACTTTTCTGCCTGCTGGAGCCTGTGCAAGTAAATCTGCTCCCTCTTACAGCCGGCCCACAAACACAATATAATGCACGGTATCGGTTTTGGTATCACTGTACAGAAAGTGTAACATCTGAGACATCCTGTAGCCTTTTGTATCGATAGTGTCCTGAAAGCCTGTCCCAAAGTTGGATGCACGTTACCTTCCGTACCCTTGCAATGCATTCATTCTGTTTTGTTCTGCGCAACACTAAAACCCCTCAGCAACGCAATTTTTCTCTAATTAATTTCTCTTTTTTTGTACTTATTACCAGAGGTTATCAAATAGCTGAGTGATAAAGGTCCTCCCTCTCAAGTGGAATTGGGGCTCTCCCTATTTTCATTTAGAAAATAAGCATTAAGCCCACTCAATAATATTTCAATACAATTTGCAGCACCTTCTATAACAAGCAGCATAAGCTATGTGTTGAGTAAATGACTGTGACCGTGTGTGGCTGGGTGGCAGATTTGGTGTGGGAGGGGTTGTAGAGCAATAGCAATAATGGCAGTGTATAGCAATGTTGCCTTGAATACCGGCAGTGATAAAGGTACTCTAGACAGTATCTGTGAAGCCAGTCTAGACAGCCTCTCTGAAAATGAATGGCACTTAAGCTACCAACGGGAGACCTGGCCATGCTTTCTCCATGGAGATGTCATCACTATGTTTTCTTACAGCTTGCTGACATTTTGCTGCTAAACCAGAGAACCAACAGAAACCCAGTTTGACTGGCAGTCGCCAGGGGACAGTGCCAAAAACAACAAATCTTTGGAATGAAAAGTAATCCCCCTTCTCTTTCACACACACACATACACACACACACACCTACACACACACACACACACACACACACACACACTTGTTCTCTCTGTTTCAAGCTGTTTGTACCCTATCAGACTTTGTCTCCCTCCACCTCTCTCTCTCTCTCTCTGTCTCCCTGACTTTCCCCTCTCCTCCCGCCTCCACCCCACTTGTAAGCTACTGATCTCATAGCGTGAGAGTTCTGCTCGCATCAAGGGCTCTGAGTTGGCCTAATCATGTCTCTAACTAGTAAGAGAGACTGCTACCTGCACCACTAGTGAAGGAATGCTTGTAAAAAGTTTAAAAACTAATTTAGATATAAATGAGTAAGCTGCAAAAGTGGAAATACAAAAGCATGACTGTGCATCGGCAGTGTGTGACATCACGACAGTTGCATAAGAGTTGCTGTCACCTAACCATTAGTGGCACATCTGATGTTTGCTTTGTGTGTTTACACGTCTTTGTGATGCACATGTTGCCTCCAAATTGAAACCACTGTCTGCGCTTTGTGGTTGAAAATGTAGCTGGTGCAGATGCCGCATAAGAGGCAAAATTATCAGACTGAGACTGTGGAAAAATGCAAAAATGAAACTCCCATGAGTAGACACTTAAATGTCAGTGAATGACAACAACATAACACCCGCCTTAGAAAATGTCAACCACAAGGTTTGCAGAATACCTGTTAACTGTTCCACTTGCTCCACACTGACCCTGGTATGTGCAGCACATGTCAGCATGCCTTTACAGAAGCACAGAGAGGAACACTGCGACAGTCTGCCACGGTCAGGGGAAGAGGAGAACGAGGTGGAAGAATTTTTGCTTCTGCTGACTGGCTGACCTGCATGTAATTAGTCAAGTCATATTTTTAACTGATATTGCGTAAAAGCCAGCTTAAGGAGCCATAGCTGCCCTATTTATACCCTAGGGGCTAATGGCCTGTACCACTACACAGGGGGATTTCCTCCCAGAACTATACTAAGCCTGCCTTAGGCCGTACCAGTTAGGATTCACAGGGATTAACCCAGCAATACATTACAGGCGTCACCCTGTAGTCTGCATCACTCACACTGCTGTGTTCTCATCCTATCAGCTCTACACTTGCAATGTTCAGCAAATTCCGTCTTCGGCTCTTCTATTTAGAAGGCACTATGTTCTGTTTATTTTGCCGGACTTATGGCACATCTCATTTTTTAATCAAAAATAGCAAATATTTTTTTTATCACTTTGTGCAGCAGTGAGATGTACAAGACTGTCACAAGCAGGCACATTTTTCACAATCGTGCAGCGGCTCTTTGCGTGAATGTCTCTGTGTGCGCGCAGCATGCCTTGTATGTGTGTGTTTGTATGCGTCTGTGTGTGTGTGTATATTTGTGTATGGGGGTGTTAATAGTAACTCCTGAGCCATAAGCCTGTCTTCATTGTGGTTGATCCTGCTGCGGGCAGGGCTGCTGGCTCATCCTGCTGAAGAATGGGTCAGGGCCCTGAAGGCTGACCTGGCCCTTTGCCCAATAAGCTATTGCCCGTATCACCCTGTCCTTTTATCAGCTTAGCCCGGCTCCTTGTAGAGTAAGCCACCACACAAAGCTAGTAGTACTCCCCTCCTGCCCTCCTCCTCCTCCTTCCCTCATCCCTCCTCCCTTCATCACTCCATCACTTGAATACTCTGAGACAGGTAAGGTTTGCTCATCTATCTATCTATCTATCTATCTATCTATCTATCTATCTATCTATCTATCTATCTATCTATCTATCTATCTATCTATCTATCTATCCACTGTGTCCTCACCCCTCCACCCTCTCCTCCACTCTCCTCTACTCTTCCCTCTGTTCAGATCTGTTACATTCAGCAACAAATTTCTGCTGCATCAGACGTCCATCATAGATCTCCCACTCAGCCTGAAACGTGATCAGACACCCAATATGAGGCTACACATGAGGAAGGGTAAAAAAATAAATAACAAAAAATTTTAAAAATAACAAACAATGCAATACAGCTTTTTCTTTAATAACCACAATAATTTTTTTTAAAAAGGACAAAACGACAGTAAAAAATTTCCATGCTCTCTAAAGAAGCCTCACCTGCAGAGATCTTTGACCCCTGCTGCTACTTTACACTTCCACTGCAATGATTTGTTAGATACAGCCTGGCTCGTCTGACCTTACTTGTCTGGGCGCCTGACCCTGTGTGTGTGTGTTTGTGTTTGTGTGTGTGTGTGTGTGTGTGTGTGTGATGGACAGATTAAATAGTGCAAAGCCGGAGAATCAGACAGACAGACACAAACAGGGGAAATGAAAGAGAAGCACACCGAACGCCTCGGTGGTGGCGCAAGTGATTGTCAGCGCAGTGCGACTCCGTTGTGTGTTTGTTGGCGTTAAAGTTCATCCGTGTGCGTTCGATATGCTAAATATCCAAGTATGCATGCATAAGTAGAACACGACAGTCATTTCTATACCTCTATATTGTAGTAAACACTCTGTGATGAACCCAGTCCTACTTCCTGCTCTTTCACTATGACTGCACTATTACGTATAAATTTATATCAGGCACCGCTGAATGTTGTGTTTTATGCAGAATTACATTTAACATAGTTTGTGCAATTAAATCAGCAGTATTAGTACTGAATAGTGATTGCAGGGCATAAGTGTTAACAATCTTTAGAAAAAAGTAATTACTTTATTTGCTTCTCTACATTTAATTTATTTCCTGGTTTATTACTTTTATGCCTTGATACACCAAGTGTGCTTCCTCACAAACTTGCTGACCTTGTTTTGTCAATTTTAATTTAAAAAAAAATGTGTTACAAAGTGAGAAGTTATCTTGTATAATTATGTGTTAGGAAGTTTAATTTAAATTGTCAAGGTAACTCTGGCACCTTATTAGTAATGGGTTGCTTTGTATAATACAGTCATAGAAACATGTTTACAGGAGCAACTTAATGTTAACATGCACGGAAATTTACTGATTTTCTGTTTTGTAAACTAGCTTTCTTGAATAAATAAGAAACCAGTAATTGGCCTATTGATCCTTTTTACTGATTATGAAACTAATGTAATTATGAACTTTATTTTAAACAATCTTTCCAATTGTTTTTATTTATTTATAGCTGAGCACTTAGATATATACTGATGTTTGCCAAATCAAAAAAAAAAGATTCAATTTCCATGTTTCAAAAAAATAGAAGGCTCAAAGTTTTAAACATGTACCTTAAGTCTCTATTAATTGTCATACATATAATGGATCCATTAAAAGAATCTACAGTCAGCATTGACTTGAAAAAAAATAATATCCTCCCTAAATTTCTTGGCAGCTGTTGCCTCACTGCGAGAATGTTTCAATGTGGCCTTCAAGCTGATTTTTCTTAGCACACTTCTAAGTCTGATTAGCTTTCCATTCCATTGAGGTTTAGAAGTTAGACAAGGTTAACTTCTAATTTACTGTTGGTTGCTATGAGTCTGCATTTTGCTCTGTGTTTCAAAGGTTGGATGAATTGGTTTTAGAAATATGAAAGAACATATAGATTGCTTTCAACCCTTTTCAACCCTGGACCTGTTTATTATTTTGCAGAAGGTTTCAAACGGGCGTCTGATTTCTTGTCGTGAATGAACTTCGCCGCTCTCACTGATACAGTCCTCATAAGCTGCACCAGCCATTTCAACGCGGTTCACTTGTACTGACTGAATCGCTGAAGCAAATCATTCAGAACTCTCCAGCAGTGCTCCTTTTTAGTGTATGAGCTCTTGTGCATGTGTGTGTGTGTGTGTGTGTGTGTCTGTGTGTGCATGCATGCATATGAAGTCAAATCAAATGTATTCACGAAAGCTCCTTTAACAAGCACGTTCGTCAAAAAGCGCTTTGATAAGAACAAAAGACACAAATTCAGATGAAACTACAGATAAACAAAAAGAGCAAGTGTGTGTGTGTGTGTGTGTGTGTGTGTGTGTGCGTGCGCATACGTGCGTGTGTGCATGTGTGTGTGCTTGATGGATGGGAGGTTTAGTTTTGAGTCAGAGGCAGCAAAAGCCTAAGTCTGAGAGTGTGTGTAGGATGAGCCTCCTACCACGTCCCTCCCTGTCTCTCATCAACTGTCTCTCTGCCTCTCTGTCTCTATCCCTCCCTCTCTTTTATGTGCCAACATGTCTTCTGAAAAGTGCTCCTCGGGAACACAGACTAATGATTTGGTTGCCGATTAATTGATTGATTGCTGATTTTTCACTTTCTAAAAGGTACATTTAACCGCTAAAGTTTATGTGGGAAGCATGAAACCAGACAGCACAAAGGCAGCCTATAGTGAGAATATACCGCCCAATATATTATCTCTATGGGTTGCATCCTTGACTGTGTGTACGTTTGTGTGTGCGCGTGTATATGTGTGTCTGCATGTTTGTATCCCTCACAGTGATTAAAGCAAGTGGGCGGCAGCAGCAACTGGTCTGCCTGTGTGGCTCTGCATAGCAGACATGTTTCTCACTGCTAGATATTACTCATTTCCTCAGCCCTTTGCACACACAAGCATGCACACACTCACTTGACACACACAGACACACACACACACTCACATACACAACACAGACACAGAGACGGAGAGCAGGCTCACAGTTTTTTCCCTCAGTTTGGTGGGCTCGCTGGTGTTATTTCATGCGTACAGAGATCAGAGGCAGTGTGTAGCTGGAGGCTGCTGATATCTGCGGGTGTTGTAACTGGTGGTAGTGCTGTGGAGGAGCAGTGTAGCACAGTAAGGAGCTGAGGAGTGGGTAGACCCTCTGGGAGGACTAGAATATGAATGACTGCCAACACTGGGACGTCTGCTCATCCCGCACTAAGGTCAGTCTCACATCACATCACAACAACTACCAACTCCATCAGCCTGTCTGTCTGCTGATACATTCTGTGTTTTCGATAAGAGCTGCTGCTAACTGCTTGTCTGTTGCAAATAGCAATGTAAGACTATGAGTCTTAAATTATTTTTCTTTGATATCAAAATAAGCTAGCCGCGAATATTCTGCACTTCTGTGTCTCTGAGGTTCACAGTCATGAGTGTGGAGTTTGACAGCTCTCCGGAGAATGCACGTAGAGAAAAGGCGGGATGAGGTGGAGCAGTGCAAATACATGTCAAGTTTGAAGTTGTGTGGAAGTTGCAAAATGCGAGCATTTTTCTTTTTAACATAAAATATAATCAAACTCTTTCAGGTTTTTAGTTATATTTTAGTTTTGGGGGGGAAATGAAAGAAACTCGAAATTAATAATAGCACTTAAATAACAAATCAGGAGCCTTGACGAAGATTTCTTGAGGAAGAAATGTGTAACATCATTATTCTTGTAATCTGTCGGTTTGATATATTTAAATGCTACGACAACGGTAGCTCCAGCTAAACTGCAGCCCTGTGTGCATGTCTGCACAGTGTAGGAGTATTCTGTTAGAAGACATTTCTCTGCAAACTCCTCCACATGCACAATTGTGTTCTTTGTTTTCTTGTACTTTTTTTTCGCAGGTTTATATTAGGTCTATTTTGACAACCTTAGCTGTCAAAATGACAAGGGTGTAAGAGTCATTTGAGGACAAATACCGAAACCAGTTTTTTTTTTTTTTTTTTCATTTTTTCGATTTCAAAGAATCTGGGTTCAAGTTTACTTCTTGTACAGCAAAACTAGACTGCAGAGATTAAAAGAAGTGATGTTTGACAAATTCAGACCTTTTGAATAGTGGGAGTCAATTGTATTCTGAGGTAGCTTTTCTACGTACAATTTTAGAGATGTCGTTATTGTCCTCTTGATTTTATTTTATTGCTTTCTGAATTTGCACTTATTTTGTCACATTTAATAGATTTATAAGATAAGAATAATTATTACCTTTTTTTATTTACACAAAACCTTAAATAAAGATGTGTACAGATTACGTGAGCAGTTTGGATTTTTGCTGCCACCCAAGGCCTTACATCTCTAGAATGTTCTTTTTTTCTCTGTTTTTTCTTTATAAACTGTACGTTATTGCCGTTTTTCAACCCTAATCTTCCAGCAAAACGTGAATATATCACTTTAATTTGACTTACATTACTATAGCAACATTTTCAGTGACCCAAAAATTGTCCATCATAAGCATTTCCAATGTTCTACTGTATTACAGCAGTCCTGTCTGCGTGTGGGACAATAAATCCCCCTCCTCTCACCACCCAGTTTTCAGCTTTCCACTCAGATGCACAAACAGCTTGCTCCACTCTAACACTTATTCTGTTTTTGGACCAAGTCACTTGATGAGCAACAGTGTACCCGCCTCTCCATGGAGTATCCCCATCTAACCTCTCTAACCAACTGGATGTGTGTGTGAGTGTGTGGACACAGTTGCCATGGTGACAGTGTGGCGGATGGTGAGACGGCAGGGAGTTGGTAGGCAGTTGAGACAGACTTGCGGGTGAGTGCGGGGCTGAGTGGCTGCACCGAGCTGCGGTGTTGTGGCGGCGGCAGGAGCAGCGACGGTGGCGGCGGCAGCGGCAGTGCTGGCGGTGGTGGTGGTGGTGGTGGAGGGAACAGCTGGGCTCGGAGCGCAGCAGCCATCATTTCCAAAGAGCTCATTTAAAACGTTTGGAGAAGAATTAGTGGAGCTCCCCCGCACTTCTCACTGAATGAAACAAGGCTGCAAAATCTCTGACACGTTTGAGGACTCAAACACAAACACACATGCACACAAAGACCTAAACAAATAAACACGTTCACATAATTCTCCCAGAGAAAAAATTACACGGACAAACATGGCATACATGCATGCACACACACAAACAGTCACACATATTTCCCCACACTCCTGCTGTGACACGTAATTAATATGCAAAGGCACATATCCTGTATCCACAACAACTGGTGGTAATATCAACAGTGTTTCTGTCAGCTTTTGGGTGGGTGGCGACCAGCTTTGCCTATCACTGGGGGAGTAAGTACAGCTGCCTGAGGGAATATTTGTGTGTCTGTTGCTGTCCATGTGTGTGTCTGAAAGAGAAGGGGTGGGGGGGTGGTAGTTGTAAGCTTATATAGAATACAGAGAACACCCGACGGTGTCGTGGGGGCGGTTCATGAAAGTGGTACAAAAACATATCTACATATTCCAATCATCCCCCGAGAGTCAGAGATGAAAACTCTCCTGCTGCGAGTGCTCTATGTGTGTGTGTTTTTGCACACACATACTGCACTGCCTCTGAACTTCATTGGCTGCAAAATGTATTTTTAGCCCACATGTGGGAGTAATGTGTTTGAATGAAACGAGTAAGTTGGGTAGTTTCAGTCCCACCGCACTGCACATAGGTAATGACTAATTAGCAGCAGCTACCAGAAAGCTAAGAGTTTTTAACCTCTTTAAAGTAGTTTGGAAGAGGGAGTCACTCGCTGATTTCTCTCCATCTGTCTGATTCAGTCGAATGTTTGTTTGTATGTCTGACCAGACTGACAGCTAAGTCTTAACTGCAACTGATGCCAGGACCTGACAGACTGTTCTTTTTCAATGTTCACACTTAATCTGCCTTACTTCTGTCTCTGTCCCCTCCCTCCCTTTCACCAACCTTATCTCTTCTTCTGTCCTCTTTCATCCTCTGTGTAGGTGAGTGGTGCTTCCGTACAAAAGAATCGACAGTGATCTGACAGTGATGCTGTGTATCAGCCTTCCCCTCTGTCTGCGCCCCTCGTTCTCCCGTGAGGCCCATGTGACCTAGCCTACACCCACACACAGGGGGCCCCCACTGCCGCTGGAGCCCACCCATGAATCCCAGTCCCGACCGCGGCAAAGAGTGCCTCCCTCCCAAGAAGAGGGAGTCTCGGCAAGGTTCAGCAGATCACCACGTCCCTCTGGATGAGTTTAAACCCCCTGTGCCAATCCGGGGTCGGTCTAGCACAGGGAGAGGGGAGGGGGGCAGGGAGGCCAGTGACAGGGACCGAGTCCTAACAAACCCAAACCCCCATCTCCTACACACTCCTCCACCCCTTCCTGCTCCAGCACCAGGCCTCCCCGTGCCCATACCATGGCACCTCAGCTACTCTCCCCCTGTCTCTCTCCCCCTTTTCCCAGGGCAGGTCAGCGAAAGGAGGGGATCAGCGTCTCCCGCTTGGAGAGATGATCCCCTTACCTCGTCCCTGCCCCACCACTCCAGGTGGCTTAGAGGGGAAGGTCCCCTCTCATTGCCACCTTCCCCATCTTCCTCCTCCACATCCTCCTTTAAGACTCCCTTTCCAGCCAGTTCTAGAGAGATGTGGTCCTATATTAACAGCGGTCGGCGGGACTACAGTTCCTCCCTCTTCTCCCCACCATACTTGTTTAGCCACCACTCTCTTTACCCCCAAGACCCAAGCTTAGTTGATGCAAGACACAGGTACTTGGGCAAGAGGCCAAATGGCCTGGATGGGCCAGGCAGCAGGACTGCCTCAACCTCCAGGCCTCTAATCACAGGAGAATATGGGAACGATAGCAGCAGAACCAGGCTGGATGTCAGTCCACACAGCTCCCATGCCAACGGCGGACGGAGGCAGCAAGAGGATCTAACATCTCGTGTCCACTCTGGAGGGCCATTTTTGTCAGACTCTCAAGCTCAGGAGGGCCCTGAGCCACATTCCTCACTGCAGGACAGACATCTGCATGGGATAGTTAAGACTAGCTCCAATTTACTCTCCACCAGTCCCCATCCCCTCGGACCAGACTCCAGGGCAGGTAGAGGGGGACTACTGGACCACCTAGGGGCCACTCCAGCTGAAGCCCAAATCTACTACTCCTTGGGATCGGTGTGCCACCCCAGCCCTGAAGCCCAGGCCTACCCTCTCTACAGCTCCTCAGGAACATCTATGTACAACCTGCACAGGGAGCCAGGCCCCAGGCAGCACAATCTAAGGAACTCACCACACTCACCCCTGGGTCTGCCAAACAGCCATGACAGGTCACAAAGAGACCGGGACAGAGACCAAGAAAGAGACAAGGTCGTACAAAGGGACAGGGAGCGAGGCAAAGACAAAGACAAAGAGAAGCAACTACACCATGACAAAGACCAAGAAAGAGACAGTGAGCGCGAGAGACGACGGGACAGAGAAAGAGACAGAGGGAGAGAGTTGTCTCCTTCTCAGCTTCACACCTCATCCCCAGCCCTTCACCCATCTCCCCCTGCACTCCTACCTCACTTCACCAAGGGTTCTCTGATCGAGTTGGCCAGCGGGCGGTTGAAGCGTGTGGAGGAGCTGCGGACCGAGGACTTCCTGAGGAGTGCGGATACCTCCCCAGAGTTCCACCTCAGCACCTGCACTGTACTGCTGATTTCCCCCAGCAGCACACAAGGCTTCAGCCACCTGCAAGTCCACCTCACAGACCGCAACACTCAGGTCAGCCTTCTCTTAAGATATATGCTTCAGCTTACTTTTGAGTAACATATATGTACATTACAGCATAACAAAAGATTTATTTAAAAACTGCATGACAAAATGAATGTTAGTGCAAACCAGTGACTGTTTAGACTATTACCTTGATCCTTTGAAGTCAAAATACTTTAGATCATTTCAATTCCTGTTAAGTTTCACCATGCATCAAAGTCAGATTTTTGTGCTACTAAGAGAAAGACATGAGAGAGCCCTTTTTTGAGTTTATAACAATGTTGTGGTTTTGTGTAGGAGTTACTGAAGGTCTTGGTGGAGTATCCATTCTTTGTGCAGGACCGAGGTTGGTCTTCTTGCTGTCCCCAGAGAACCACACAGCTGTATGGCCTGCCCTGCCGCCAGCTCATGGAGGGCGATGTTTGCCTGGCCCTCACCCCCACACCCATCCAAACGCACCGGACACACTCGCGTACCAGCTCCAGGGCCCATCGCACACAACTCCCCTCCAGGGCAGCAGCAGAGCCCAGCAGCTCGCACAGAGAGGACATGCCGCCTCCACCTCCTCCTCCTCCTCTTCCTCTTCCTCATCACCCAACACCTACCGCGCCAGCACCTCCATGCGTCCTGGCTGCGGAGCCTCCAGCTCAGGAGCAGCAGCGTCCACGCAAACGGCGCTGGTCTGCCCCAGACACCCTTCCCTCAACCGGAACTGATGAAAGCCTCTCGGATTTACCTCATGGCTCAAAGCTAATGAAGTGGCAGTAGAAACTTGCACATGCATACCTATACATGCATACTTACACACAAACATGAGCACATACACACCCTCCTTGTCTCAGTTGCACCCACCACGACAAACAATGGCGAGACCTCAAGGCAGGGTTGCAGGGAAGGAATAAAAAAAAAACAACTCAACAAATCGCTGCCCAAAAGATTAATCTACGTCACTCTAGTCTAGGACTTGTTGCATCTTTCCTTTCCTTTCCGTTCCTTTCCTTTCCTTTCCTTTCCTTTCCTTTCCTTTCCTCAACCTTACTTAGCACAGCCCTGAAAGGAGCAGCAGATGAAGGATCTCTTAGGCGGCTCCTTACAAACACACTGAAGACATTTAGTGAGACAATCAAGCACATGTCTGTGTTCACTCTGTTTTTGTAATGGTTGTCCCACACACCTACTTACTGAAAGTGTTTGCTGCAGGGTATTTTCAATCAGTGTTATGAAAGTAAACGCTATTGAAGAAGTGCAGATATATATGAACAAAAATCGACTATATATATATTACATTACAGATGTTATATACAGTAAATATGCTAAACAGATTTAATGCAATCTCTTTGTCAAATTTGCAATGCATTTTCGTTCTTTTTTTTTTTTTTTTCCTTTTTTTTTTTTTTTTTTCTTTTCTTGCTTCTGAGCCGATGTCTACGTGTCGGCCTGGGCAGGCAAGGTGAATGTATGAGCAACTCTTCGCCTTTTTTATTATCACTGGGAGTCATTTCAAACAATTGTTCGTCAAGGCATTACTCTCCAATATGTTCTTAACATTATCTCTGAGAAAGGGAGAACACTAATGAAAACTGCGTAACAGACAATCCCACCCACACAGACAGGTCTGTGCCACATCGCCTCGACACTCATGGTGTTTTTCCATTAAAAACTGAATGATGGAAAGAGTAAAAAGTGCAGTATGGCTGAAGAGTAATGGTGCTAATAACACGTTGGAACATGATGCTTTGTGAATACTCTTGACCCCTGTGTACTGTACGCTTCTGTTCCCATCTCATTTTTATGTACTGTATATGTTTGAAAGCAGGGAAAATGATGAAAGTATTTTAAACTCAGATACGGGTATATCCTCTGATTCAGCACACTCTCTCACTTTAGTTTGTGTTTTTTTTTATTTTCAAAAAGAAAATCTTACCTGTTGATTTTTCTTTTTAAATGTTATAGCTACAAAAATGTATATTTTTAAAAAATTGTGAATCTGTTATATGATGTTCGCTAGAAATAAAGGAAAAAAAAGCTTTATAGATTTAATTAAAAGTGTCAATTTATTCACTGTATTTGCTGTAAAGTACTATGATTTTAAATTATCATTTAACAACAATTTGAATATGGGATTAACATAAAATGCAGGAAAAATTTAAATTAAAAGTAAGTTACCAGCGTGTTTTCTTTGGTTAAACAAGATGTTTGCACAGCTAACTCTTGCCAGTATAGCTGCACAGTGGACAAAAAACATTGATGCAAGGTAAAAAAAAAAACAAAGCACATTTTCTGTAATTCCCTTGATGCATGGCAAACAGATTTACAATACAGCCATCGTTTCCTCATTGTATCTACATCTCCACAGACAAAATTTTCTGTTGCTCTGAGGGTGTCTTCGATGATGAATGAATGCAGCCTCAGTATCCACTTGTATATTATCCATGTCTACCCTGACACAGGGTCACTTTTCCACTCATCTTACATCTTCTCTCCTTCTGTGTTGGAGGTGACATTTAGCTGTGTCTGCTCAGTCTCTTCCAAGTTGAACCTCTGCAACAGTTCCACTGCAAACAAGGGAACCACCTGGCCAACAGGACACAGTGCAATACATGATCAGTATGCTTATGAGGACCTCTACTGGTTGAAAATACTACTGCAGCGCAGGAAGCAGACATGCTCTGAGGTTCTGTTCTCGCTGTGGAGGATAAAAATTTACTTACTTTACAATATGCATTATAAAAATTACACTGGAGTTTTTAAGGCCAAGCTCAAGGTGTTTGGCATTTGAGAAATGGCCATGGTGGGTAAAACCCTGGACAGGAAATCACACCGACACACTGTTCACATGACTTTAGTCCCAATAAAATCCTGCTTTCCCTCACCTGCCTTACATCATAATTTAAAAAGAGACACATTTAAACAAAAGAAAAGCTGCACATATGAAAGCGAGTGATACAAGAATTTTCTGGTTATTGTTCATCTTCAAAACACATGCACGGTCTTTTGTCTTGCAAACTGTAATTATGATTTCTGCTTCTAAAGAAAGACATAGTAAGTTGTGCCTGTACCTTAAGAGCAAATTCTGACTTAAATGTTATACACTTGGAGAGTAAAAATTGTATGTGTAGTTTAAGCTTTTTTTTTTTTTTTTTTTTTTAAATAATTCTGAACAATTTCTAAATTGTAAACAAATGCAATATGTGAATTAATGGGTAGAAGGTAGTGTAAAATAACTGAGGTGAGCAATTCTTATTCCTTTTTCACCTACCTTTGCCATGATCAGCTTCTTCTTTTTAGGCACACTGGGGTCTGGATACTCCTCTCCAAAGCAGAGCTCAATCTCATAAGGAGGTGGAGGTCCCTTCCCTTGTAAAAAGCTCTGGAGCGCTGTCGAGACATTTATTGGTGCATTCAGATTGATCACACCAAGACTTTACCTCTGTGCATAGAGCAATTATGTGAATTGTTTTTGCAATAAGTCATACTTTGCTCTATTTAGATTTAAATGACTGTTAGATAATGAATTCAAACTGCTGTTTTGTGTTTTGATTTGTATTTTTATTCTGATAAAGTAGGCATGCACTACCTTACCACTGAGAAATGTAGGTATATCAAGCAGTTTGAAGGTCTTTTCTCGTTCCAGTTTGTTGGGCCGGTCAGTGTGTTGGGCCGTGGGACCACTCCAGTACACTCTGCCCTGGCAAAACCGTTTGATGAACACCCCATCTGGGGCCACCCATAATAGCACACCCCTCTCCAGGTGACAAAGAAGGCGATTCATTGCTTCAGCCATGGAGGACGGCAGGGATACAGAGGCCGGGGAAGGGAAGGAGAGCTGTTGGGCGGTGCAGGGTCCGTAGATCCGTTCATTCCCCAGGGGAACATGGCCCTGCAAGATGAAGCACCCATCTGGACTCCTGGTGGTCACTTTCATCACCATCTGGCCCTGGTACAACAGCATCACCTGCATACGAAAGTCTGTGCACACAAAATGCAACTTGTGTTTCAGGTCGTACAGCTAAAAGACAAGCAGCATGGTCATTTGGTTTAATTTCTTTGCATAATCCCCAAAGTGTTTTTACCTGACACTGCGAGTGTAGGGCTGAGGAAGGTTATGGGAGCAGGGACCTCACTTTTAATTTTTTTTCCTGTTATCTCACAGTACAGGTGCTCCCTCATCAGATCTTCTAAAGCAGAACAGAGACATGATTCAATCAAAACTTTCTCAATGTTGTATCCATATCAGGGGGGGAAAAAAGTGATTTGTTGTTGCTGTTTATACTTTTAAGTTTACAACAAAGATTCCTACCGATATGTCTATCTGGGTCCAATAACACTTGGAGGTGGCATTTAGATGTCATCTGAGAAAAAACGAGGCCTAATACATCCCTCAAGTGGTCCATATGGGCAAAAAATGCACATACAAGTAAAACAAACATACCCAAGCCCCACCCCACACGGTGCACTTACAGAGACTTATGATTGGACCAAAGCCAACTAGAAGTAGGAGTTCTTATTGAGAAGAAAGAAGGCGCAGTTTTGGAGACTTTTAGGGATTTAGAGATCTTTTTCCCCCGGCACAGATATCCCATTGACAGAGTGGGAGTTTCTATTGTAGTGACAAAACATACACTCTCTTGCCAATTTCTCACCCACAAATGCTCTGGAGCCAGAAGCACTGCAGCCAGGGAATAAAGGCATTAAAGGCTAGTGGTAGATTAGTGTTTGTTCGCAGGAACACCCAACAACTGGTCTACAGTTAGTCTGCCACGAACTACTGCAACTAGCCAGGACCCAAACCAAAAATTAAAGGATGAAAAGTTCTCAATCAATAAACAAGACTTGAGAGTCTATAGCCGGGCCAACAGCTCTGTGAAGCACAGCAGTAAATTCAAAAGACGGATGTTAATCTCTAGTTTTACAGGTATTTTCTCATAAACAAAAAGTTTAATTCATGAATGAATAACAAATAAATAATTGCTGAAAAGTTGGACAACATAAATGTCTTCACCAGTTCTATGCCACTTTAAATAATAGTTGTTGGGACATGCCACTCTAAATCAAAAATATAAACCTCATGGTGGCACCAGAGGAAAAATCAGCCATTAACAATGATGTAATGTAATGGTAGTCCATCTAGTTTTTGTCGAGGTATTTCAGTCTAGAGCAAAGCAGTAACCGACGATTTTTCTAGAAGAATGCCACTAACATGGCTACAAAAATGACAAAACATTTCACAATAGCCATTGGTAACCGATAAGGAAAACAGAGACACACTAAATATCCAGCTTTTGCTCGTACATATCCCACTTGATGCCTGTATTTACTCGATGGGAGGATCCACATGCCAGGCCATAACCATTTTTCATTTTCATGTTATTATAGTGCTGCCCATTTATTATCATACCCTCGGTCCAGGACGGAAGTATGACTATATCTGGGACATTCCAACAAATGGGCTTCAAGAGTAGCATATCGAAGTGTCCACAACGATAGAGCACTGAGAAAATTGTGTCTGTGTGATGAAAAACAGGGGTTTATAAAGCCAAAATGGGAATGTTTTCACAAGATTAAAGGGACAGCTTCTTAGAGGATCAAGAAATGTTTATTCAAATGGAGCTTTTTGGTTTTGCTTCAGTGAAATTTGACCTTTGTCAGCACGAAAAGCCATCCCATCAATAAAAGCTATTTCCTTTAATCAGAGGGTATACAGAGGATTAACTTATCATGATTAACTAGCTAAGCAGTTCAGTTATGAGTGATGACATGCTCTGCAATAATGCGATTCTCTCTGATGTGCCCTAATTAATGTCAGTGTGTGAATAACTCAGTGAAGCAGATCTCAGGTGAGCAGGTCACTGACAAACAAACAAACACATTGCCTTCCGTGGCTGTGTGATAATCTGCCATGCATGACCGACGCTCGGCCCGTGAGCCATAACGATCGGCCGACCATGACTTTAAAAAGTTATTCCTGGAATCAAGTTCAGAGAATTTCAATATGACAAAAAAAACAGGATTGTGACATTATTCTATGACAATAAACGGGTTTTTTTTTACTATAGTTTAAATAGGAAATGATTTGGGACTTCGATATTTTATGATTATAAACTAGATATTCTATAAAGTAGTATGACATTAGGTGGGCAGCACTGTACGTATTTTTGCAGGGGGAGTGCACAATGAAAAGTAATCGTACCAGAGTTAGCTTGCAGCTAATTTACATCTGATGTCACTGGGTAGATAGACAAAAAAAACAACCACAGTACACAACATAAACAACACAATACCTAAATGTCCATCAACGTGAGAAAATAAATACTATCAGTAAATGCGATAAATAGAAAGCAGTCATTGGTTGGTGACAATCTTGTGTTTAAGCCAGGATGGTTTAAATTTACTGCAAAGTTTCCTTAGACTCTAATGTTTATGGGGATAGAACTCCCCTTCACCAAATCTTTACTTTGAGGAAACTGTATTTTTTAAGTATTTTGCAGCGATGGGGATCATTTGGCTAAGACTAATCTAATACTTAAAGGATTTGTTTACAGAGTGAGAACACAGATTTGAATGTAGTCACACCTGCCCGTGACCAGGCTGTAGACAGTCGACAGACGGGGAAAAGCATAGTATGTACTAAGAGCTTTACAGCAGATGGGGATAACTGGTGCCGGATGCTTTAAACATTAATCAGATTAAATTTAACATTGCTGATGATTCTTCCTGCTTGTTCTTTGAAAGACAAGTCAGTGGACAATCCTATGCCCACACTGATAACTTAACTGGGATCAAAAATGACCACTAAATGACTTGGTGCACAGGCAGCCACTGCTTACTTGTTGCTAGATATAAAACAAAAACATTCAAGAGACAGAGGTTGCCTGTCTGACGCATTTGGTCTTGATTCTCTAGAACCATTCTGTAATGCAGTACCAGTTTGGACAAGTAGCTCTTACCAGTCAGCGGTTTTGCTTCTTTATTCGCTTGAAATGATTCCTTGTGATAATGAACCTACAGAAACAGAAACCAAAGTCAGGTAA